GGAGGGCTTCGAATGGAATCTTGCGTTGCAGGGGATTAGTATGAACCCTTCTTGTGGCATGTTTCAATCGGAATCCTTCTTGCGTGGGTTTCAATCGGAATTACCCTGCGAAGGGAGGCATTGGAATTCGGAAGCACAATGCCAGCGCAATGCCAAAGCAGTGCCAACGCCATGCCAAACTAATGTCAAGGCGATCCCAACCCAATGCCAATGCAATGCCAATGGGGACAAGCATGTGTGATAGATTTCATTCGGAATCCTTATGTGGAGGGTTTCGTATGGAATCCTGATGTGTAAGGTTTCAATATGAACACTGTTTTTGAAAGGTTTCATTAGAAGTCCTTTTGGTAGAAGGTTTCAATATGAGTTTTTTTGTTTTTGTGGAGGGTCCCATTAGGACCCACCAGCGCAATGCTGGCGACACTGCAATGCCACCTGTAGTATTTCTTTCTCTCGAAGCATCACAATAGCAAAAAGCTTGATTCTGGAGGAAGGAGGAGGGGGAGGGGGAGAGACGAAGGAACGAGCGGAGCAGCGCGGCGGAGGAGGAAAGGAGGAGAAGGAGGAGGAAGTGGAGGAGGAGGGAGAGGAGGAGGGGAGGGAGGATGAGAGAAGGAGGAGGGAGGAGGAGGAAGAGGAGGAGGAGGAGGGGGCGTTTCTTTTTGTTTCTCCTGCCCCCCCCCCCCGCCCCCCCCCCCAAAAAAAAAAATACAAGACCACCCGTGTTTGGGGGGGCAACACCGAAAAAGTCTTGGAGAAGCAGGGGAGGAGGAGAATGAGGAGGAGGAGGAGGAAGAGGAGGAGAACAGAGGCCAATGGGGAGGAATGCGGCGAAGGAGGAGGAGGAGGACGACGACGACACAGAGCGCGCAGATATTGCACAGAAGCAGTCGCGAACTCAGCGCGAAAGCCTCGCGCGCGCGCTTTTGAACCCCTGCGACTCCACAATCCCCCGTTCTCTCCTCCTCCTCCTCCTCCTCCTCCTCCTCCTCCTCCTCCTCCTCCTCCTCCTGATGGCACCCGTCAGCGCAAGCCATGGGTCCGCTTCTCCGATTCGCCCGATGCTGAAGCGGGCTGGCAGCCAGTGGAAGGTCATAATCGTGCTGGCCATGGTCGCAGCCGGAAACAGCGCCCTTGGAGCTGGTGTGCAGTGTGTTCGGGATGGACGTGGGACCACATCCTGCGCAAGAAACCCGAGTGCATGCATTGCCAAGCTGCACTTGCTCCAGGGGCAGGGTTCGGAGGAGCTGAGGATGAGAAGCCTGGAGCCATCGTGGTTCGCTCCAAGACGCCTGGCCCGCTACCGCCTGAGGCTATGGCCAAGATGCGGGAGGCGGCTGCCATGCTGCCAGAGTCCCAGGCAAAGGCCCTCCTTGCCCCGTACGTGCAGGCCGTCGTCAAGCCGAACGGGCCCCCTCCGCTGCCCGAGTCCGAGTACCAAGCTGCGGAGGTGGCTAAGCGCCAGGCCAGCCGTGCTCTCCAGGCTGCGCTGGACGCTCGGCTCCGAGTGGAGAAGCAGGTGGAAGCGGCAGATCGCCGTGTTGGATAGAGGCCTCGAAGTTTTATCTCGGCAAAGGTGCTGAGCGAGGGGTCTCCTGGCAGCATGTAGGTGAGCTCACTAGGCATTTAGTCAGCGAAGGTGAAGCTGGCCTTGCCGCCATGGTGAGAGTTGTTGCCTGCGGCGGTATTTGGCCAGAAGAAAGAAAGCATGAGTGCGCTCTCGTTCCTGATCCCGTGTGCCAGCGCTGCCTGAGAGATGCCGAAACACCCAAGCACCGAATTTGGCAATGCCCGTGCAATGCCGATAGCGAGCTTGTCAGGGTCCAGGTCAGCGAGCATTTAAGGCATCAGGCTATCGTCGAATTCGACGCCTGCCCAATATTTTGGGGACGGGGGCTCATACCTCTTGATTGGTTCTCCCTCCCTCCTCCGCCTGAGCAGCGCTTCCTCGAGTACCACGGGTATGAGCCCTCGGAACCCTTCCCTGGAGGCATTTACGGGGCTGACGGTGCAGGAGGTCCTTGGTCGAAGCATCCTGTGCTGCGCCGGGTGGCTTTCGCTTTCGTCAGGCTTGACGCTTCCGGGGATGATTTTTATTGGAGCCATGGGGTCACGGGTTTGGTCGAAGGCAAAAGGCAGACGGTCCCAAGGGCTGAGCTTACAGGCCTAATTGAGGCCGTTCGCCATGTTGCCAAGAATGAAGACCTGACTCTTGTGTGTGATCATATAAACCATGTGAACGCCTACCATAAAAGGAAGGCACCATACCTATCGCCTTGCCAATGCAGATCTGTGGTGGGAGTTCTGGCTCCTTGTTGATCTGCGCACGGCTGGAACTCATCTTGTGCATTGCCCTTCCCACCTTGATAGTGATGACAAGTTTCGCAGGTTTTGGCGCACGTCGGTCGCAGAGCATGTTTATGTCAATCGTGCTGCGGACCATCTCGCTGACCAGCGTGCCGGGGCTGCTCAGATCCAGTCTCATATCTGCCGGGAGGTGCTTGCACTTGAGGAGAAGGCGAAATATGTCCTGCTGCGTGCGGCCTTCCTCACTGTTGCGATAGCGTCCCGCCCGAAGGATCGCTCGCGCGTTGTCGCTAAGAGCATCGTGGACCGTAAAGAGAAGGCCAAGCAGCGCAGGCTTGAATTCATTCGAGCCTCTTCTCACCAGTTTCTTAATGTCACGGGCACTTCTTGGAGGTGCTCTGGGTGCGGCCTCCATGCCCGTGAGAGGGCGAGAGGTTTCCGGGACTCCGTTTTGTCGGCTTGCCCCGCCCGTGCTCCCAGGCCTCCCGTCCCGCTCCCCAGGGTTGTTCCTTCCCTGGAGCCCGAGGCCCCCGTTGATGAGTGGCTCTGGCGCCGTTTGGGTTTGGAGGATCCGCCCCAGAGAGTTGCCCACCCTGCCTTTATAGGGGGACAGCAGTTGAATTCAACTCACGAGCTCTGGTTTAAAGGGCGCTTTGTGTTTTGTGGTCTGTGCGGGTCCTGGGCCGCCCAGCGACCAGTCAACCTGCTGATTGGTTGTTCTGTGGCCCTGGAGGGCCCACACAAAATCTCCCCGAAGCAGTTGCAGGCGCTCCAGCGAGTACGCAAGGGTAAGCCACCTCAGCAGACTGCCTCATCTTGGGGCGAAAATTGTACCCTGGAGCTTTGATTTGTTTCACCGTCAAGTTTTAACCTGCTGGCAGAGTTTGGCTTGATGATGCACACAGTGAAAAATCCTCCTCCTCCTCCTCCTCCTCCTCCTCCTCCTCCTCCTCCTCCCTCCTCCTCATCATCATCATCATCATCATCATCATCATCCTCATCCTCCCTCCTCCTCTCCTTCTCCCCCTCCCCCTCCCCCTCCCCCTCCCCCTCCTCCTCCTCCTCCTCCTCCTCCTCCTCCTCCTCCTGCTCCTCCTCTCCTCCTCCTCCTCCTCCTCCTCCTCCTCCTCCTCCTCCTCCTCCTCCTCCTCCTCCTCCTCCTCCTCCTCCTCCTCCTCCTCCTCCTCCTCCTCCTCCTCCTCTCCCTCCTACCTCCCGTCGATGTTGTGCAGCACTTGATTGAAACTGTCCTTGCCCTCCTCCTCCTCCTCCTCCTCCTCCCTCTCGCTCGCTTTCGTCTGTCCGTTCCTCTCCCTTCCCCTCGGAGGTGCCGCTGTGCGGTGCTGCGTTAGACATTAAGCCGGGCCTGTCCCCTTACAGGAGGAATATTCAAGAATTTAAACAAGTCTGGGCTCGATGCTTGGAGCTTGTTGTGGCAATTTTGAACATGTTTAAACGTTTTCTGTTGTTCGTTCAGAATCCGCCTGTAGAGGGACACGCCCGATTTAACATTAGACAGGTGGCTGCCTGGGCCACAGGAGCTACCCGCACAAAAGAGAAGCGCTACCCTTCTCTCGTTTTCGCCTTTTTGGAGGGGGGGCCTCCTGGAAGGCCTTCGTCGCCACGGCTGGATCCGCCTCGAAGTCCTGGCCAGGACCCACCCAGGGAGAGGTCCGGAGAGTAGCGGTATCGGTGCCTTCTGGCTTCTGGAAGAAGAAAATCAACACAAAAATGCACTTCTGACGGTCCGCGCGGATGTCTCGGATCCTCGCTAGACATCCCTCCTTGGCGCGCGGAGCGCGCCAGGGGCGGCGCCGGAGGCGCCGCCGGGAGGGTCCCCAAGCGCGGATCCGAGAAACCCGCGCGGAGCGCCGAAAGTTTGTGTTTATACCGTTTTGTTCGTCTCCGAGCTGCCCCCAGCGTCCCGTCCTTGGAGAAAAGATGGCCGACAGCACCAAGGGGGGGCCACTCCTCCTCCTCCAACCTTCTCCTCCTCCCTCCTCCTCCTCCTCCTCCTCCTCCTCCTCCTCCTCCTCCTCCTCCTCCTCCTCCCCCTCCTCCTCCTTTCTCCTCCTCCTCCTGCTCATTTTCCTCCTCCTCCTCCTCATCCTCCTCCTCATTCCCCTCATTCTCCTCCTCCTCCATCTTCTCCTCCTCCTCCTCCTCCTCCTCCTCTCCTCCTCCTCCTCCTCCTCCTCCTCCTCCTCCTCCTCCTCCTCCTCCTCCTCCTCCTCCTCCTCCTCCTCCTCCTCCTCCTCCTCCTCCTCCTCCTCCTCCTCCTCCTCCTCCTCGGGTCGCCTAGGGCCCTGGGGGAAACCGTGCAGGAAAAGGTACCCATGCCTTTCCCCCCTCCTTGGGCCTCTTGGGAGGCACTCGTCGCCTCCGCGGGATTCGCCTCGAAATCCTGGTCAGACCGCGCCCTGGGTGAGGTCCGTGGAGTGGAGGTATCGGTGCCTGTTTGTTTCCCCAGGATTGGTGGGGGAGGGGCGTGCGGGCGACCTCAGGCGCCGGGGGGGCTGGTGCAGCGCAGGTGCAGGGAGCACAGGAGAAGAACAAGTTGCATAAAGACAACCATTTTCGGACCTTATATAACAGAAACTTTCGGTCCGTATCCATTCGGCTGAAGCCATTCTGGCTCCTGGCGGACCCGCAGCGATGGCTACCTTGCCGGCGCTCCTTGCCAGCTAGTGTCCATGGGCTGCTGCGGATCGGCGACCGGGGCAGCCGCGGCGTGCCCCCAGGACGAGACCTGGACCTACACGCCGCCGAACGGCAAGGACATCGTGGCCCGCAGCGCGCCCTCCTTCCAGGCCAGGAGGACCGGCCGACGTCTGGCCCCGGGCGAGACGTTCGCGGTGACGCAGACGAAGAAGGTTGGCGAGGTTCAGGAGGGAAAGAAACACACAGACACAATTAATCGTCGACTCCCAGGAAAATATGCAAAAATATGGGAAGTGGTGGGGAAGACAAAAGCCCAGAAAATATGGGAAAATATGGGGGATATGTTTATTTGTGTGTATTTGTTTGTGTGTTCCAGTTCCCCTTCAGAGGTGACCTTCCTCCGGCTGGCCGGGGGCGAGGGCTGGCTCTTCGACGCGATGCCCGGCGTGGGCACCGTCGCCACGAGGGCCGCCGCGCCAGCTCCGCCCGTGGCGCCGGGGGGCGATGCGGCCTCGGCGGCCTCCTCTGCTCGGTCGCCGCCTCTGCTGCAAGAGGAGAGGCATGGGGTCGCCCCCGCTGCCGCGGCGGAAGACTATCCTCTGCACGCACGGGATGCCTTTGATGAACACCTCGTTCGAGTCGGTGACAGGAGTAGGATTGACGATGTGGGCGTAAATGATGATCTGGCGTGCTGGTCTTGCCAGTGCGTTTCCTAGGAGGAGCTGGCGCGTTGAGCACGACTCGCCACCCACGATCCTGCTTCCCTGGCTGTTGCATCGGCGTGTGTTCCACTCTTTGCTCCCCTCCGCATACCATTAGACCAGAGCTGCGTGATTCTAATCTCTCCGGTCGGTTGAACCATGTGCGGATGTTCGCACAGGGCCACTGTCAGTCTCCTTCGCATCGCTTCTTCGTCGTCCTCCTCCTTCCCTTCTCCTAGTGGTCTTCCTCCTCCTCCTCCTCCCACTCCTTCTTGTCCCCTCCGTGACTCCAGCGGTGCACTGGGTTCTATTGCCGCGAGCCAGGCTGCGTATTGATTCCGTGGTAGCCCATTTCGAGGCAGTAAGTTGTGCGTCACCGCTCCTCACGTGCCCTCTTTGCACTTTGGGGCGAACAAAGAGTCGAACCTGTTTTTATGAACTACTAGTTCATTCATCCTGTCCCTGCCTCTTCGAGGTCGTCGTCGCCCTCCCTCTCCAGATTCATGCTTTCAGTGCGCTGCAGGCGACAAGCTGAAGGTGTTTTAGATTACCTCATCGGGCTGCGTTGCGGTGAAACAACCATGTTTCCCCTAACTCTGCGGGCGAACCTTGTTCTAGCGAGACTTGTGACCCTGTCCAGACTGACGTGCGCAGCAACAAGGACGTTTAGGCCACCAGATGGTGCACGCATCAATTCTTGTCATGGGATGGTGCACTTGGATCATCGTATGGCATGTAGCCACATGGACTTGTTATGTTCCCCCGATTGTGGGAGATTAGCGGCATAGACCTTGCAATGAATCGCATCGCCAGCACACTCGTAGTGGCCAAGAGTGTACATGGCGACGAGGGGCCGTCGTATACCTCAAAGTCGTCAGCAGAGCTGAGGTGCCGAGAAGAGTGGACGTGCGGAATTGTCCCCAGGCGCTGCTCAACCTCGATTTCAGCTACTCCAGAGTTCGTAATAAAAGGGAGGGGGTCTCAACCCTCCCAGACGAGAAGTTTTAGACCCCCCCCCGTGGGAGAACCCTCCAAAACATCGTCCCCAGACCCCCCCAGGCCCTCCAAGATAGCCTGGAAGAGACCCCCCCCGAAGTGAGACCCCCTCCCTTTTATTACGAAATCTGGAGTAACCGAAAAGCATAACATAAAACTTCGAGGCTCCGAGCAGATCTCTTGGATCGGCGCTGGGCCCCCCTCCCCGGCGCCAGGCCGGGGGGACCCGTCGCCGATCCAACAAGAACTCCCAGGCCTTCAAAATCTTTGACGTTTGGGCATATGTTCTCTTTCGTTACCAGCCTCGATTGACGAATGGCTTTCGCGGATGATATGGTCGCGCTCCATTTGTCCGAGACAAATATGTCGCCCTTGCTGAAGTTGAGCTTGTCGAGGTTGTCCATCATCTCCTCGTGCCCGCGGGGCTTGCCGTCCTTCGCGTCTTTCATTATTTGGGCATATGTATCCCTATCCCTAAGATTGACACGCCAAAAGGCGATGACAATCTCAGGAATCCGCCCTCAAAAAATGAGGCAATCCCTAAGATTGGCATCGTGATGAGGAGGTGCCGAGCATAGGGATAGGGATATGTTCCAGGCTGGTAATTTCAAGGCTCTGAGGGAGTGTCAGGGAGGGGGTTCTGCACCCAGGGCTCGGCCTTGAGCTCAGAACGCCTGGCCGAGGTTGAAGCAGCAAGCGGCGCGGCGGGCCTGACGCGGCCGCCGTGGCCTTCAAAATGGCCGTGGTCTGGCAGGCTAATCTGTATTGGAGACGGTGGGCGCGGGCTGGCAGAGAGGTTCCAAAGAACCAAAAGAATTTACTCGGACGAGAGTCGCGGAGGGATGCTACGTGCAAGCTGAGGGCAAGCAACGACTTGTCATACGCAACATCAAGTGAACCTGAAAGCTGTAGGCAACAGGATGGAGTGTTGGGTAGGGTGATGAAGAGCTCACGCTAATACTAAGGCAAGCTGGCATGGGCACAATCGCAGGTCGGGGAGGAGATCGGAGTGGAACGGAGAGCCCCCCACAGGGAAATCGGTTTCGGTTTCGGGTTCGTGGCGTGCGTGCGAGCGAAGGCGAAACGGCGTGGACAGGCGAGAGGAATATTCCGCTGTGGCTACGGCGGGTCAAGACAGCAGACCGCCCCTCCGGCGGGCCGGCGCGGCCAGGGATGTGCCATTGCGGTGTCCCATCGGTGTTCCGTCGGTGTCCGCGGGCGTTGGCCCGGGGTGTCCCGCCTTGGTGTCTCGTCTGTGTCCCGTCAGTGTCCCGTCGGTGTCCTGTCGTGGTCCCGTTGGTGTTCCGTCGGTGTCCCGTCTGTGTCCCGTCGGTGTCTCGTCGGTGTCCCGTCGGTGCCCCGTCGATTTCTCGTCGGTGTCACGTTGGTGTCCACCATCACAATCATCGCAGATGTCCCCTGTTAAATCTTACCCCCCGAACCTCCTTATCACCCGAAGGGTGGTCGCACAGGTAGAAATATTGGCCAGGAGGCAGGCACAATGTATGCTACAAAAGCAATACGACAAACCTGAGGTGAAATCCGAGGCAAGTGGACAGCACGAACCCATCAGTCACCTGCAAGGCAGAGGCAAGCCTAGCACAGGTCTCTGAGGCAAGTCAACGGCAAGGCACTAGAAAGGCTCAAATCAGAGCGTGAATTACCTACCCCGGTTTCGCTTCCAGGCAAGACCAAGTCATACCATACGCCTCCTCGTCAAGCGGCCTGACCAGTAGATGCCGTAGTTTGGCATCGCTTGGTATCTCTTGGAAGCGAGGGTGGTCAAAAGCGAGGTAGGTTTGTTTGCCCCCTATTCAAGGCGAGTTGAATCCCAGCAAGTTCCAAGGCAGGCTGCGTTCTGTCTCGCTCGAAGGGCAGGCCGCAGAGCCGCCACTGGGGCAGGGCGACTGGTGCGATTCAGCCTGCCGCCGTGATCCTCCCTCCTCCTCCTCCACTTGCTCCTCCTTCTCTCTCCTCCTCGTCCTCCTCATCCTTCTCCTCGTCCTCCTCCTCCTCCTCATCATCATCATCCTCCTCCTCCTCCTCCTCCACTGGTCCTCCTTCTCCTCCTCCTCCTCCTCCTCCTCCTCCTTCTCCTCCTCTTCCTCCTCCACTGGTCCTCCTTCTCCTCCTCCTCCTCCTCCTCCTCCTCCTCCTCCTCCTCCTCCTCCTCCTCCTCCACTGGTCCTCCTTCTCCTCCTCCTCCTCCTCCTCCTCCTCCTCCTCCTCCTCCTCCATCCTCCTCCTCCTCCTCCTCCTCCTCCTCCTCCTCCTCCTCCTCCTCCTCCTCCTCCTCCACTCCTCCTCCTCCTCCTCCTCCTCCTCCTCCTCCTCCTCCTCCTCCTCCTCCTCCTCCTCCTCCTCCTCCTCCTCCTCCTCCTCCTCCTCCTCCTCCTGTCGTACCCCTTGGTCTTGGTTGCCTCGTGGCTCGAGCAAGGGAGCGAGAGCAGACCCCTTCGGCACTCTGCTGCCTTCGCTCTGCGCCGGCACTGCTGGGAACCATGGGGCATCGCGCGTGGAGCATCGGGGTGGAGGAGGAGGAGGAGGAGGAGGAGGAGGAGGAGGAGGAGGAGGAGGAGGGGGAGGAGGAGGGGGAGGAGGGGGAGGAGGAGGAGGAGGAGGAGGAGGAGGAGGAGGAGGAGGAGGAGGAGGAGTTGGAGGAGGAGCATCGGAGTGCCTACGAGTGGGCGGAGGTGAGTTTTCCTGCCTCGCAGTGCTCGCAGTACAGGGTCCGTGCTTCGCTTCTGGCGAACTGGCCGGCTGCTCTAGGCCGTCGGCCGGCGGCCTCGTGCGTTGGCCGGCGGTTCCTGGCTTCCTTCCGTCGGCCGCCCTTGGCCGGGTCGCTTGCCCATGCCATCGTTGCGCCATCGTTGCGCCCGCGCATTCTCCCATGCTTCCCCTCGGAAAAGAATCAAGCAGTGGCGAAGTGTCCCGGCTTGCCAGTAGGCCCTCCTAAGAACCTGTTCTGACTTGCACGAAATGTTCAAAGAACATTTCTGGTTGAGATTGCCTTGTTTCAACACGTCGGGCTTATGTTCTAAGAACATGTCTTTCTTCTACGACCTTCTGGGGGTTCCAGAAAAACATTTCGTGGTAGGCTTGTGGGAGCCGGGGCGGTCGTTCTCTGCTCAAACGAGTCAACTGCGCACGCAGACTTTTCGGAGCTCCGCGCGGTTTGTTGGATCGGCGTTGGGACCCCCTGGCGGCGCCTCGGGTGCCGGCTCTGGGGCGCTTCAGGTGCCAGGGAGGGGTGGGGGGCCCAGCGCCGATCCAAGATATCCGCGCGGGCTTCAGAGAAATGATGTTTGCGCCGTCTTGCATATCCTCTGCAGCCAACCCGCATAGTAAAAATGAGGGCTTTGCAAGATTACCCTTGCATCCTCCCCCTTCGGCCCACTATTGGCCGCTTTCGCTGGCCGCGCCCCGCTCGCAAAGCGTCGACATGGCCTTCCGAGGCACTTGCATCCTTATCGTGCGTCCTTATTGTACGGGTTGACCGTATCCTCAGCTTGCTGCTCCTCCTCGTGCGACGGCAGTCCTCCGAGACACACCCACGCGGCTGCCGCCTGCCGCTGCAGCGGGTCGACCACAGGACGCATTCGCTCTCTTCTCTTGCTTGCTCTGGTCCGCCCTTCTTTCCAATAGACCACAGCGTGCCCGAGCCTTCCATACACAGGCGGATCTCTTTCCGTTGCAGTTGCGATCTTCTTCCGAGCCGGCTCACGGCTAGCAGGCAGAACCCAGCTGCTGAACAGCTGGCGAATCGACCGCAGCGCAACGGACCATACCGGTGGAGATAATATCCCGGCACGGCCGCGAGGGATGCTCCGTGGGGACACGACACTGTCCGCCCTTCTCCTTCTCCTTGGACGGTGCTCCTCCTCCTGCTCCTCCTGCTTCTCCTATTCGCCGTCCTCTCCCCCTGCCCCCCCCCCGAGATCCGCGGCGTCGGATCGGTGACCCCAGGAACACGATGATCTTCACCCTGGGCGGCATGCTCTTCGCATCTGGCTGCCTCA